ATCACCCGCCTCGGCTGTTATGGTTGTGGGTGTATTGTGTTCAGGCTGGTCTTGTTGTGTGTCTGTGTGAGACAGTCTCACTCTGTCACTCAGGACTGGAATGCGTGGCTGCCATCTTTGGAGACTGCAGCCTCAAACATCCTGGGGCTCACGGGATCCTTGTTCCCACCTTGTCTGTCCTCCCATGGGTCGAAGCAGATTGCAGACTTTTGTGTACCACAGCGTTGTCCTGTATGTTGTGTGTGTCATCTTTTCTTTTTTTTTTTTTTTAAGTATAGTGTTTTGCTCTGTTGCCAGGCTGGAGTTACAAGTGAGGCGATACTGTAACTCCACTGCAGCCTCTGCCTCCTGGGTTCAAGTTCATGTTGTTGTCTCAGTCTCCTGGTAGTGGGATTAGCTGGGCATGCACCACCACCTCCGGCTAATTGGTTGTAATTTTTGGTTAGAGGATGTGGTTTCTCCATGTTTGGTCAGGCTTAGTCATCGAAACCTCCCAGAGCCTCAGGGATCTGCCTTGCCGCGGGTTGCCTCCCAAAATGCTGGGGATTACAGGTGTGAGCCACCTGTCGCCCAGCCTTTTTGTTTTTTTGTTTTTTTTTTTTGTTGAGATGGAGTGTTCACTCAGCCGCCCATGCTGGAGTACAGTTGGTGCGATCTCGTGTGTGTGTAGCCTCCCACTTCCCTGGGGTTCAAGTGATTTCTTCCTGCCTCAGCCTCCCAAGTAGCTAGGATTACAGGCACCCGCCACCACATCCAGCTAATTTTTTGTGTTTTTAATAGTGACGGGATTTTACCACGTTGACAAGGCTGGTCTTGAACTCCCGACCTCCCAAAGTTCTGGGATTATAGGTGTGAACCACCACGCCCAGCCTAATTTTTTTAGTTTTGTAGAGAGAGGATCTCCCTATGTTGCCCAGGCCTGAACTCTTGGCCTCAAGCAATCCTCCTGCCTCAGGCTCCCAAAGTGCTGGGATTACAGGCATGAGCCACCATGTCTGGCCAACTATTTTGTTATAAACTATTTTAGGTGTGTGAAGAAGGATGAGGTTTTATCTTTGGTGTATTTAAATGTGTTTTGGTGAAACAGTAGTTGTACAAGTTGCCAGTGGAACTCTCTGGACACAGGGCTTCAGACAAGAAGGGGCATGTTTCTTGCCAGTGGAGGTGGTGAACCACCTTCTCTCTGCTCTCCTTGGGGAAGGACAGACCCTAGGGAGCCTGCTTCTCTCCACCCTGCAGAGATCCTCACTATGGAAAAGGAAGTGGCCCAGAACCTTCTCAACGCAAAAGAGCAGGTGCACCAGGGCGGCGTGGAGCTGCAGCAGCTGGAAACCGGGCTTCAGGAGGCTGGGGAGGAGGACGCCCATCTGAAGGCCAGCCTCCTATATCCTTTTCTGCTAGGGGTCAGCCTTGCTAGAAAACACGCATAGGGCCAGCCGCAGTGGCCCGCGCCTATAATCCCAGCACGTTGGGAAGCCCAGGTGGGAGGATCCTGTTGCCCAGGAGTTGGACACCAGCCTGGGCAACAGAGACCCTGTCTCTACAAAAATAAAATTAAGCCGGGTGCGGTGGCTCACGCCTGTAATCCTAGCACTTTGGGAGGCTGAGGCGGGCGGATCACGAGGTCAGGAGATCGAGACCATCCTGGCTAACACAGTGAAACCCCGTCTCTACTAAAAATACAAAAACACCACAACACACGACCCTTATTTATTCATGTATTTATGTATTACTTATTGAGACAAAGTCTCACTCTGTTGCCCCAGGCTGGAGTGCAGTGGCCGGCGATCTCAGCTCACTGCAAGCTCCGCCTCCTGGGCTCACGGCATTCTCCTGCTCAGCCTCCTGAGTAGCACTGGAAACAGGCACCGACACCACGCCTGGCCTAATTTTTT